GATGGATGGCGGGTGGTGAGTGTGGAGTTGGGAGGTAGCTTTTAGTTATCGTACTGATTGCCGCTTTGTGTTGGTTTTTCTTTTTTTTAATTTAGATATCTAGTTTTCTTTTTTTTCGCTAACTTTAAAAAAAAGCTATTTTGTCGTGTGTCTGAAGTACACGTATTCTCATTATAGAACCGTCATGTCTGCAAGTTTATGGAAGTTTAGTTTATTGAGGGACTTGCTCTTACCATTTTCCATCTCGCTCTGTCGAACTCAAGAGGAAGACCTATAACGAGCTTGACTACGCAGCCTATTCGGTGCGCAAACGGTACAAAATGTGGCCTCTAAAGATCTATTTACGCCAGGGACATAAAGCTCCATGTACAGCCGGGGGACCCAAAGAAAACGGAAGCATGCCAGTTTGTCACTGGCCTCGACTGTGCCCTGCATGATGGAAGTTATCACTGACACTCTCAAAAAGAGTAAATGAATGATTGATTGGTTGATTGTACAAATTTTATTTTATTTTTTTCAATAGTTTGTACCGAAAGAACATTATTGTTGAAATTTTACAGAGTAATTTGCTTTGATTTGCTTACAAAAAGGAAGAATTATTGAAAAACCAAGCTGAATTGACATTTTAGAGGGACTAGAATCTATCTCTACACCATCAATTTGAAGATGGAGAATAAAAAACTTAAGTTACAACTACAGCGTTAAAGTGTTGTAATTATGACTGTCATCAATACTCAAATACTTAAATGAAATTTTGACAAACTGGGCCTGTGACAAACTGGGCAGCCCCCATGAAAATATAGCCGCCTTCCTTGTAGACAACACGGGTGAGTCTACAGCCGTGGAGTTTTAGTTGCACCTATAGGCCTACCAACAATTGTGAAAATATGATGTATGAGGTTTAACGATACATGTTGGGCTAAGCTACGAGTATATTTCCCAGGGGCATAACACTGGACAGCAAATCCGAGGCTTTTGTTAGCTGAAAACACATTGCCGGAAGATTTCAGTCTGTTCATGTCCCTCTGACATATAATAATAATAATAATAATAATAA